AGGGCTCTGGAGAGCTGGGAGTGGAATTTCTGACTTGGGTGGATGCAGTCTGGGGCAAAGAAGGACGTGTCCGGGAGCCCATCCTGAAAGATACCAAGATACCCCCTCAAGATCCTGTGGATTCAGAGGGAGCTGCTGCCAGCAGGCCTGGCCCCTGCACTGCCCACTCAACGCCTTCTTCCCCTGGGAGTGCTCCAGGTCACTGGCCCCTACAGCGCCCACTCACCTTAAGAGAGAGGTCAGAGCAATCCCACAAAGGATAGTTTTGGGTGACCCCAACCCCCAACCTTCCTTTTTGACCCTACAATTGCCCCTTACTTGATTAGAAAAGTGTCATATTTATTTTTAGTCACATTCATATAATGCCCGAGGCCATGCTGTGGATGAAGGAGTAGGATCCTGGTTCCAGGGAGAGTCTTGGCCGGCCAGCTGGGAAAAGCTAATTCCCAGCTTTTGGTCTGCTGGTCCTGGTGGTCTTGGTGGGGAGAAGGGAACAAAGCCTTGGGGAAGGCCTATTTAGCTGGGTGCCCTGACTCCAGCCTCTTCATCTGGAGGTGCTGGGGGTGCATAGAGCTGCTCTCCTTCCAGTTTCCCTCCTGTTAGGCGAGGCTCTTGGGATGGCGGCCCAGGGAAACAGACCTCAGTCCTCACCTGGCCCAGTCACAGATCTCTTCTGCCCCGGGTGGAAACAGAGAATCCCCAGAACGCTCCCTTAGAACTGCAGAGTTGCACACAAGAGAGACCACGTGCATGGCAGCAGGCTAATCATCTGCAGCTGACCGTGTTCCTGTCGGCCTCCCTGCCCCTCATTTCCTAAGTATCTTAGGAAGGACGCTTCATGTCTCTGCACCTCTGTTCCATGCGGACGATCACACTCATCTCCAAAGGCAGAGGTGGCAATTTTATCTGTGGGAAGCACAGTGCCTGGCACTAGCAGGTGCTCAGCACAGTGGAGGCTGTTACGGGAGTCACAGGAGGCTTGCACATAAGGATGCCGCTTAGGCGTTCAGGGAGCCTGAACCTGCCGGCACGGCCTCTGGAGACCTGTGTCTTTCCCATTTTCTACACATGCTCATGGAAGCACCTGGCATTTCTGCCTTGAATTTCCTCCTCTAAAAGAGTGCCATGGTGAGGGCAGGGGACATACCGCCACGATGGGAAGCTGGATGTTGCGGAAGAAGGGCTGCAGCACCACGGAGAAGTCCTCCCGCGTGTCATAGCGGCCTGACTCCACCAGCTCACGCATGCTGCTCTGGGGACACACACACAGGCTCTTCAGCACAGGCTCTGGGTGGGCCCAGTGCCCAGTGAGGCCAGAGCAGGGGTGGCGGGCAGCCCATCTCCCTGGATGGAGAGGCTGACTCAGCCCGTCCCTTGAGAACACAAACGCACCTGATGGCAAGTCCCTTTCCAGAGAATTTGGAAACGGGTTGGGTCACCTTTTTGTTTTGGTTGTAAGTGGACTGCTATCTCTGAAGGGCTAGGCAGGAAGTCCCAAACGGGATAAAAACCTGGGAAGAACCTCCAGAGGCTTGGGACCTGCCTTTGAAGTGAGATCGTGGGAAAGGGAAAGGTGGTCTCATGGGGCATCCAGGGCTACAGCCAGGAGTTGGGGGAAGCCCTCAAGGGTAGCTGGGCCATGAGGGCTTTTCCACCTGGATCCTACTGTAATGATTCCAACCAGGGCGCCTGAGACACCACAGTCACACGAGACAGAGAAAGGGACCCAGGACGCTCCCTGTGTTCCTGCAAGCCCTGACCAGCTCTTCCTTCCCTGTGTGCCTCTCTGCTGGGGGTCTGGGGTGTGTGTCAGAGTGAGCGTGGGAGAGAGGACACAGGATGGTGCCCTTCTCTGTCTTACCTGGTAGGCTTGGGTGAAGGCCTCCAGCCTGGTCAGCTCTTGGGAGTTCTCACGCAGGGTCAGAACACAGTTACACAAAATGCTGCACAAAGAGGGGAAGGCAGGAGGCCCCAGAGCCCAGGCTTCCATCAAGGCCTGGTTCTGATTGCCCAGGTGCAGGGGAGGGGTGGAGAGGCTCCCTCCCGCCATTGTTTAGGAGGACTCAAGCCTTGAGGCTCTGGTGCACGTGCTCAGGGGCAGGCTTCACGCCTGACATGCGCACTGGAGAAGGCCCAGGGGAGGGCGCCTGTGTGGGAATGAGCACCCTCTCGTAAGAGCAGAGCACAAGCGTCGGGCTGCAGGTGCTGGGGCTGCAACCGATGATTCAGCTAAGCAAATGAATTTGGGTGAAAATTTAGTGTTTAATTGAAAAGAAAATGCATCCTCTGGTATTGGAGCTTGTATTTTGGGGCCTCTGATGCTCACACCCTCAGACCTCTCCTTCATTCACATGAGTGCCCTACTGTGTCCCCTTTGGTTTTATTATGAATTATTTCACACCCATAAAATGTACTTAATGTTAAAAGAGATACTGCCTTTTTTTTTTTTTTTGAGACAGAGTTTCACTCTGCTGCCCCGGCTGGAGTGCAATGGTGCGGTCTTGGCTCACTGCAACCTCCGCCTTCCAGGTTCAAGCGATTCTCCTGCCTCAGCCTCCCCTAGGATTACAGGCATGTGCCACCACGCCTAGCTAATTTTTGTATTTTTAGTAGAGACGAGGTTTCACCATGTTGGCCAGGCTGGTCTTGAACTCCTGACCTCAGGTGATCTGCCCACCTTGGCCTCCCGAAATGCTGGGATTACAGGCGTGAGCCACCACGCCCAGCTTAAAAGAGAGATTTCTAAAGCACTTGGAACAATGCCTGGCACGCAGGAAGTTCTGTAAGATTTGCTAAGTAAACAGATGCGTAAGATACAAAGAATGATAAAACACACACCCAACCATTCCCCTAATTTAAAGTTCCCTGTGTCCATTCTAATTCTCTTCTTCCCCTAAAGGTAACTGAGTTGTCCATACCTTTTCTTTGCTTTCTGTTATAGTTTGACCACATAGGTCTACGTCCCTAACCACCACTGCCCATGTTCACAGCCTGGGCTAGCCTGTCTCTCCAACATCAGCCTCTGTCCCAACTTTGATCTCTTCCCCGTGACTCCCTGGTATCATAGACGTTCCTGCTGGGCACCTGAGGTGGGGTAACAGGGGAGTCATGGCTCCAGCCTCCCAGAAGGGGATTGTTCTGGTACATGTCCTCCTTTGCAGACTTGGATACATGGACAGAGAAATTCACAAAGACCCTGAGGCATCACTGCTGCACATGGGCCAGACCAGGAGGTGAGGGCGTCTCCAGCCTGGGGACAGCCAGGACCTGCCTACCTGGCCTGTTGCACTGGGCACTTGTCTGGGTTTTTCAGGAACACCTGCCGCATGACACTGGGGTTCAGGAAGTCCACGAGGTTGACTAGGGCTCTGGGCACCTAAGAGAAACGCTGCGGATGAGAGGGGGGCTCTGGGGGCTTCTTCCTGGGGCTGTTTCAGCGCCCTGAGGAATGGGGTCCTTTAGCAATCCAGCTTGGTCTTTCTGGAGTTGAGTTCTGGGGAGGAGTCTATACAGGGCTACCTCATAGGGCCTTACAGGCCATACATCACACAACTCCACCGGTGCCACCCAAAGGGGCTGCAGCAGCAATGATACCTCCTGGAGTGGGCTAAGAGATCATCCCTGTTCGACCATCATGTAGTGAGCCCAGATACATTAGCCTTCCCTTCTTCAGACCTGAGACCCTCTGGGCTGATTCCACATGAAATAAGGTTTCCTTGGGGTTAGACCCCAACCTCTGAAAAGGGAAGGAGCCCCTGCCCCTGGCGGTCTTCTTGAGAGGAGGGGATTCTTCTCCCATTCTCTCCCCGCTCCACCTTCACCCTCACCCTGCTTGAGCTGTCACCAGCTTGTGGGAGCCCCCCACCCACCTCTCTATGCAGGATGTCCAAAGCATTGCGGAGATGGTCAACAAAGTTGGCTGCAGAATACAGGTTCTAGAAAGAGGTAGGAAGGAGAGAGAGGAGGAGTTGGTTAGGGTGTGAGGACAGTGGGACAGTTCTAAACTTCCCTCTGGCTCCAGCCCTAAGGACGTGTTCCCCTCTGGCCTCCAGCTGTGGCCAGCTCACCATTTCAAAATCTGAGTGGAACAATTGACTACTTGCTTTTGTCAAAGATGGGCCAGTGGGAAGACTGGAACCTTCAGCCAGAGCTTTGGTTCAGGAGCAGAAAGTAGACTCCTCCTTCCAGCTGCTTAGGGTCTACAGTTTCCTCTTTCTGAATTCTTGGGAGTTATGAGAGAGAGGAGTAGAAATACCATACATTTGCCACCTGCTACCTCACCACCTGGGACATGGTTGGTGCCAAGAACCTGGAGGGTGGTGGGGTAAGAAGTGTGTGTGTGTGTGTGTGTGAGAGAGAGAGATAGAGAGAGAGAGGGAGGATGTGTATATGTGCTGACATAGGTGTAGTTGGATAATCCTAGGATTGGTTTTAGGAACTGTTCTCAAAGAAGATCTCCAACACGCACTGGGCAAGGTTAGGGATAGCAAGTCAGCCTGGACCCGGCCCCTGTTACCGAATCTGTGCAGTAGTCACATAAATCACTGCCTCCAATCAGCACTGTGATGACCTTCCAGTCTTCATGGAAATTTACTCTCTATATGGAGGGAGGAAAAGGCTTGATAATTTCCAACAAGGAAATGGAAATATCCCCGCCCTAGGAAACCCATTCAACCCTCTAAAACATCCTTGCCCACTTGAAATAATGCAATCAGCATCTCTGAACTGAAGGGATTTCAGAGGATTATTTCTAGACCACAGAATCTTAGCAACAGGAGGGATATGCGGTGTCACTGTACCCAGCAACACGCCTCTCCCCATTGACACAATCTCCTCCATAGGACCTCTGTCGGGGGCTGTCCCACCACTGCTTGAATGCCTCTAAGAACATGGGGCTCACTGCTTTTCATGGCAGACAAACTCCATTTGGGTTAGAAAATTCATGTTTAGGAATAACCATAAATCTGACTCACAGGGTCTTCTTTCATCTTCTGCATCAGAGCTTGGACTTGGCTCATAAGATCCCTGAGAAAGAGAGAAAACCCATCTGTCTGTTGAGGAAGAGTGACCACAGTTTTCCTCCTAGAGGGCCCGAACTAGAAGCTTCGACAGTATCGTCCTCACTGCATGAGCTGGTGGAGATCCTGAGGCTCAGAGACCAGGAGCTACTTGCCTCTTCTGGAAAGTTCTTACAACAGATAACCATTTGAGAAGCCAATGATGTGTCTGTCCTGCAGCTGCAGTCAAAGGTATTGCCAATTATATTTATTGCTCATGATCTCCTTTCTGAGACTCCACATGCAAAAGGGCTTTTAGGATTCCATGCTAAGAAAGCATTCATCTCTTCTGGAAGATTAGTTTAGATCCTAAAATTGGACCCATCAAACTTTTAGCATGCTTCCTCTTTTCACTCTGGCTGCTAGGAAGCTGAGTTTGATGCTCCAACATAATAACCGTAAAAATGTTCATATTCACACGGTTGCTTCCTCTTTGTTTCCTCCAATAGCTGGGGTTTTTCTCTCTTACCTGTATGTTATTTTTTCTTTTGTAAACTTATCTAAATGCTTCTTTCAGAAAGAGGTGGGGAGTCACATGTGCTCTCCACGTGCCTGGGTTATAATTTACTGAAGATGACAAGCCTGGTGGCTCACACTTGTAATCCCAGCACTTTAGGAAGCTGAGGTGGGTGGATTGCTTGAGTCCAGGAGGTTGAGACCACCCTGGCAACATGGTAAAACCCATCTCTACAAAAAATACAAAAAAAACTTAGGCAGATATGGTGGTATATGCCTGTAGTCCCAGCTACTAGGGAGGCTAAGGTGGGAGGATTGCTTGAGCCTGGGAGGTAAAGGTTACAGTGAACTGAGATCATGCCATGGCACTCCAGCCTAGGTGACAGAGTGAAACCCCAAGTTAAAATAAAAACTGGCCGGGTGCAGTGGCTCACACCTGTAATCCGTGTACTTTCGGAGGCTGGGTGGATCACTTGAGGTCAAGAGTTTGAGACCTGCCTGGCCAACATGCTGAAACCCTGTCTCTATTAAAAATACAAAAATTAGCTGGACGTGACGGTAGGGGCCTGTAATCCCAGCTACTTGGGAGGCTGAGGCAGAAGAATCACTTGAACCCGGGAGGCAGAGTTTACAGTGAGCAGAGATTGTGCCACCGCATTCCAGCCTGGGTGATGGAATGAGACTCTGTCTCAAAAAAAAAAAAAATTATAATTTCTGGAAGGAATAGATTTCAGGCACCTGAGCGCCCCACTTCCACTTGTTCAGGGCCTTGTTACGGACCTGAGTGGGATGGCTCCACAGCAAGGTGACCTCCCAGGACATGGTAGTGGGACCATCTGTCCCCAGTTGTTTCTATTACCAAGAATCTTTCCAGGCTGAGTGAGTGGGTCTGGGGGCCACACCACTCAACCAGAAAGTATGGGCCTGAGCAAGAAGATGACATGTGACAGAGGCTCAGATGGCTGAGCCAGGAGCTCCACAGAACAAGAAGACCTAGGCTGCCGGGGCCTCCAGAGCCCCTTTGGAGACACCCCTGGGAGGCTGGGCAGCTGCTCTTCTTTGGCTACCTCTGGGCTTCTCTATTCCATTTCCTATTAGCTCCATAGTAGGGGTAGGGAGGGGACATGACTCATTGCTCCAGATACTTCTAGGGCAGAAGGCTTGCCCCATCCATTTGGTTGGCCCTCTCTGATCTTTCTGGGGAATTGCCACTTGTGAAGTTCGGAGGAGAGTGGATCTCTCTAGCACCGTGTGCCTTGGTGAGTTTTAAACACTGGATAAGGTTAGTAGATTTGTCCAATCATTAGAACATGCTGCACACGAAGGCAAGGCCAGGAGCTGCACCCGTGGGGTCATCATGTCTCTCCAAGGCCACAGGCTCTCTATCCTGTTATGACCTTCGTCACAGGGGCAGCAGGGAAGAGGGTGTCCTGAGCCTCACAAGTGTCCCCTTTGCACATAGAGGCCAGTGCTATGATCTTCAAGGGTACTGTGTGCATTCCACTCCCTACGCTGCAGGCTCCCTCCCTCCCTCCCCAAATGCCGTACTCAGCCTTTGCTCCGGGAACAGCTTGATTGAGGAACGCATTCGTGTCATTGGCGTCACCCGTGCCCATGGCGTAGCCTGTGAGGTTTCTGTTAAACTCCCGAAGAATATCTGGAAGAGGAGAGGGTGAACAGGAGACAGCTCAGAACAGAAAGCCAGGATAGCTTCTCTGGTCCCATGGGATCTAGGTTCCCAAAGTGGGCTGCATTATCATCCTCATGCTTCCTGGGGAGAGGCAGGGAGGCAGTGTGTGTCCCGGACATAAGCTGGGGCCTCCTTAAGTTGAAATGACCTAATGATCTGATGACTAGGTGGGCCAGGGTGGCAAGAGCGTCTCACTTAAAAAACACACATTTTTAAAGACAATTCACAGTGCATTGAAGGGTCACTACCTACTTTGTCTCAGCACCTGCTGGGCCCGTTGGGGAAACCTGAGGCTAAGAATATTGGGTAACTTGCCCTAGGTCACCTGACAGTATATCAGAGAGCCAGGGATTGAACCAGATCTTCAGGCTCTAAATCTGGTGTTTATTCTACCCACTTCGGCTGCTTGTTCATTGCCTCCTGCCTCCTACTTAAATGGTGAGCCATAAGGGAATGCCATTTGTGCCTTAGCTGGGAGGTACTCTCAGGAATCCGAGGGGCCAGATGGATGGAACGGTAGACAGATTCAAGCCCCTGGTGGCTACTTACTAGGTAAGGTGGTCACATTCTCCAGGGAGCCGTCCCCTCCTGAACTGTAGGGAGTGAGCAGGCCAGTGAATAAGAGGGAGAGAGAGACTGGCTGAATCAATGTAGAAACCTTACAGAAGAGCAGCCCCACCCTTCTCAGTGCCCATCAGCACCTTTGAGATGGGCCAGACCCAGCTTTTTGTGTTTGAGAGATTCCGAGAACATTTTGAATTCCCTAACATGTTGGTTCCCTACTGAACCCAGGATTTGAAGATGAGAGAGCTGCTTTACCAAGGCAGGAGGGAGAATGCTTAGCTGAGTATATACTATGTGGCCAGACATGCACTAGATTCTCTATGTCTGTTATTCCACATCTCCCAACAAGCCAATGATGTAGAGGTGACTATGTCCATTTTACCAAGTAAGAAACTGAGGTGCGCAGAGGTTACTTAACTTGCTAAAGGTCACTGAAACCCAGCTTGAGCCGGAAACCTTTGGAGAATAGGTAAGCTCTTCTCTGCTCAGTAGTCAGCTAAATTCCAATGGACGGTTCAGAAGGGTGGCCTCTCCTACTTTCCATGCCCCATGTAATTTTCATTTAATCTAACTTCCACACACTAAGTATTTTGTTTTCTTTCATGCATTTATTGAGTACGACACACAGGAGAAAAGATAGTATTTCTATTTCAACAAAATCTGATATTCATATATATAGTATTTACTGTTTTCTTCTGTGTCTCTTTTTTGAATCCTAGCATGTTATTCCAGTCCAATGGATTTTAAGAACATGGCCTTAGCTCCCAGCCCACCAGCAGAGACTTCTAAGGGACAGGCCATGGGTCCTCATTGTTCTTCATTCAAGGAATGCTTGGAATGAAGTGGACTGTTGCATGCCAGCATGATCAAGGGCTTAAGTCAGCAGCTCTGCAAGCAATCCGGGTGGTGGAGAGAAGGCAGATGCCGGAAATCTTGCCCTTCTCCTTCACTCAGTTCTCTCTCCCCACCTTCCCGTTAGATGTCTGAGCCTAACTTGCCCAGTGAATGGGCGCTTGTATGAGTGTCTGATTCTTTTCCAGCTCTGCATGAAGCTGCTGCTTTGTGATCCTTCTTCCTCTGGACTAAAGGCACCCAATCAGAATATTTTACATTGAAAAAGAAATTATAAGTCTATATACCTCTGCCAATCACTGTGTTCTAATTCTGCCTCCTTTTCTCCTTCAGTAAAGATATAAACATAGATATGCAAACACAAACACATCAAGTATTTCCTACTGTAATTTCTTGTTTAAAGATACCTTCATTTTAAAACAAGTATGGTAGCTGATCAAGACCAACAGGCTATGAAAATCTCTCCCTGACTTCATTTTAGAGTGAAAACTTCCAGGAGAAGAAAAGGATTATGACAGATACATACAAAAGTGCAAAAATATTCCAACTCTCATTCTGATCAGAACTATGTGGAACATGAAAGGAAACAGACCCATATCAAATAGCTAGTCCACCTTAAACCCTTCAGATGAATATGATTTATGTTACGCTATGAGCTCAATAGCTGGGCTCTGGTCATCTGTTGTCACCTAAAGTGTACAGAAAAATAGAGTAGATGCTCAATAACATTTGTTGAAGGAGTTTCAGTCATGTGAGAATAAACCCCTAGTTAATAAAACAAAGGCAGTTTTTGGTAAGTAAATTTTATTTTGGTCCTTTGAATGGTCCCAAACAAGAAAACTTATTTCAATGGAAGAAAAGGCAATGTTCTCAAGACCTCTGGCCCCGCCACATTGCTAAGCTGGCCAAAGCTGGAACGTTTCACTACAGAATCTCACGGGTCAAGGGGCCTTGGAAATATTCACAGCCAAGCCTCTTCTGCATGTCCTGTCCACAGCCACCCACCCCCCATGAATTCTGGGTCTACTTCTCCTCAAAACCCATGAGATTCTCTCTTTTCACTTTGTTTCCTATGGGGAAGAGGCTCAAATTCCATTCTTGACTGACCCAGTAACATTAATTGCCTAGTTTTTCCAATCTAGAAGCTATAATGGCTCAAAAATTGCTTTCTCACATCAGTCTTCTATACAAACACTTTCCAGGAGATGTTAACAGGTGTTATGAACGAAGAAAAAGTTCTGGAATTAAGGGAAACATTGGATTAAACAGATAAAACTTAAACAGATTTCTGCATTGCAGGGCTTATCAGAGCCTTTAATATGCTAATATGCTCATGAATTCCCCAGAGGAAGGCTACAATGTTTCCCCCTCAAATACAAAGGATTTTCCCTTCTTCAGGAACATGTCTGGAGTTAATAATGTTCCGTGGAACACTTGAGACACAATATGTATTCCACCAAGTGTCAAACTGTCTCTCAGACCCTGACCTGGAGCTTCCATCTTTTTTTTTGAGATGAAGTTTTGCTCTTGTCACCCAGGCTGGAGGGCAATGGCACCTTCTTGGCTCACTGCAACCTCTGCCTCCCGGATTCAAGCAATTCTCCTGCTTCAGCCTCCCAAGTAGCTGGGATTACAGGCACGTGCCACCATGCCCGACTAATTTTTTGTATTTTTAGGAGAGATGGGGTTTCACTATGTTGACCAGTGTGGTCTTGAACTCCTGACCTCAGGTGATCCACCCACCTTGGCCTCCCAAAGTACTGGGATTACAGGTCTAAGCCACCGTGCCCAGCGAGCTTCCATCTTTAACACACATGCATTTGGGAGCAGCTATTTGAAACATTTAGGACAAATGAAGGGTTTAAAGGGACAGCAGCCATTGAACCTGAGGCCTTAGAAAATTGAGACATTAGGCTGTAATGGACTTCACTTGTAGGAAGAAACAGAGCAATGGCTGAATTTTCCCATCGTTGCAGAGATAAACTTTTAGTAGAGGATATTGCCTGTTCATATCTGAATCCCAGGAGCCCGGCTGGTCAATCTGTTTGTAAAGTTGGGCTCATTGCCTCACTTCCCCAGGTTGCCCCACCTGGTGCATGTCACGTATCTGTCACCCGCAATGTGGTTTGTCTACTTTATTTTCGATTTTCCCATGCTACAGTGTGAGGTCACTGCCTTCTCTAGCTGTGGCCAAGTGCCGCTGCCATGATCTCATGCTCTTTCTTGATTGTAACAAGCTCTGCTCTCTCTCTGGTTTTTCTTTTTACTGTAGCCTCATTAGAAGCAGAGTGGTGAGTCAGTGAGGCTCTGATTTGTCCATGGCAGCCTGTTAGGACCAGGTACCTGGCCAAGGACTTGTGGAAACGCAGGGACCTTGTCACAGGAAGACAATGACCTCTGTTCTTAAGGGGTTGAAATCCTCACGCTAAAGACACCCTAGGTTCTTGCTGTGGGTGCTACAGGCTGAGTGATGGCAACTTCCTCCCTCCCTGGAAACCCATTCTCTCTGGGACTCTGCTCAGGTCTGGCCAGAGAAGCCTCACGGTCCTGATCACGCCCTCCCTGCTCCCTGTCACTTCCCCGAGAAGCAAATTCATTCAAAAGAAAAAGGTGCGCACGCGCCGCGACACTGTGCAGAACAACGCGGTCTCTTGGCCCCTCTGCATGCGGGAAGGTGGCAGAGCCGGCTACCAAGTCCGTGCTGTTTGTGTGTCTGGTTAACATTTGTCGATCACCCATTGCAGAGGCAGTTTTCAGGCAACTTGTAACTGATCAAAACATCGCAGAGAATTGGAGGGCAGACAGCGCGGCGACTTCCGGGTATGAGGGCGGGAACCCCCCTGACTGCCGAGGGCAGAGCGCACAAAGAGGCATGGCATTCTCATGAACCACGTTGCCCGGAAGATTACCAAAGAAGGTTTTGCCACATTTGATTATATACTATGTATGGATGACAGCAATTTGAGAGATTTGAATAGAAAAAGTAATCGAGTTAAAACCTGCAGAGCTAGGAAAAAAAAAAAAAAAAAAAAAACCTGTAGAGCTAAAATTGCACTACTTGGGAGCTATGATCCACAAATACAACTTACTATTGAAGATCCCTATTATGGGAATGACTCTGACTTTGAGGCGGTGTGCCAGCAGTGTGTCAGGTGCTGCAGCGCGTTCTTGGGGAAGACCCACTGAGGCACGTTCCCGCCCTGCTGCGGCCAGCCTGACCAGACCCCACCCTGAGGGCCTGCATTTCTCATTGTGTAATAACGTTCCAGAGCCCAGGGCCCAGAGCCCCAGCTCTTTGTTGAGTTGACTTACTGTTTCTTACCTTAAAAAATAATTGTAGATGAAAATCAGTTGTGTTTGGCAGAAGAATAAATAAAAATCTTTGATTCAGACAGTTAAAAGAAAAAAAAGAAAAGGGAGGCGGCAGCAAAGGTGTTCTCCTGGCTCCACCGCTCATCAGCACGCTGCCCCCTCGTGGCCAGCTTCATTCTAGTTGTTTTCCCAGGTAAATTCTGAGCTACTGGCCGCTTACTTTGAGAATGAGAACTTTATTAGGAAAGAAAGAAATTTGACAATACCCACTCGCAACTGCTCGCCTGGCACACCCTGACCTTCTCCACTTGTGTGTTCGGGATGCCCTTTCTCACCCTTTCCTCTTGTCTATTTGCTAATCTTTCAAGATCTGGCTGATTGTGACTGTGTCTTGAAGTGTGCATTGGGTTTCACAGGTTTTCTGTGCAGATGTGTACATGTACGTAGAGGCAGCCACGTGACTACAAGACAACATGAATAAACACATAAGACAGTAAACAGAGATGTGGGAACACCACGTGTACACGTATACACGCAAGCGGGCAGGTGAGGATTCAGGGATTTGGTGCTTTTCTGGTGCATTTCATGTTGGATTTGCTGACTCAGGAGTCTGATAAGAACCTGGTTTACTACTTTCTCTGTACAATAAAAAAAAAAGAGATTATCAACAGTAAAATATCCTCTCCACTCACCCAATATTCACATTTTGCAGAAATATGTAGGTTTTTCTTTCTGAAAATCCCTTCCAGACCAAGTCTCTGACCTCTGGGATTCACATATTTATAGGAGACAAAGCCACATCCACTCTCTGTTGTGGGGGGAGCCCTGAGAAAGGTCGAAGGTTAACATTACCTGTATGACAGTCCCCGATACTGTGTGGTGACATCGGGGAGGTCGTCCGCTTTGGAGCCAATTCCGTTGCCAGCCTTTGAAAACATACCAGAGTCCACAGGAAATTAGCCAGTCAGAGAACAGGGAGGCTGTGACAGTGCAGGGCTTCCAAAGACGGCTTCCCTATGCACTCACGCGGTGGGAGCAGACACCCGGCCAGGAGCCCCGGCTCTAAGTCTCCATCCTCCTCCCTGGCCGTGTGCCTTCCCCAACTCTCAGCTGCCTCCTCACCAAGCTGAGAACAGGCCCTGCTCATCTCACAGGGGACGTTTTGGGGACGAAATTGGATTACAGTGGTAAAAACCGCTTTGAAAACTCTCAAGTGCTTTACAAACATGAGAGAGCGTTGCTAATATCGTTCCCAGCGTTATGCCACTAAGTTCTTTAACAGCATGATGAGAGAGCTCATTGACTTAAGCGACTGCGGTGATTTCTCCTAAGCCTCACATTTCTCCTCGTTCCCTCTGGGGCATCCTATAAGGTATTCTCAAGGTCTTAGATGTGCTGCTGGAAACGATGATTGGGGATAGTAAAATAGCTCCTTTTCTTGGAAGTTAGGGGCAGAGCTTTATCCACAACTAAGGAGTCCTTGCTGCCTTCCGTGCAGATGCAAAGAGGAAACAGATGTGAGGTCTCAGCTGATTATAAAGCATAATCCAAAGGAAAAAGAGCACCTACACAAGGGGGTTTAGTAGAATCTTGAGTCAAAATCACATAGTTTTACATACATTAAAAAAGTGTTATTGGGTATTCAAAACCTCTGCCCTCTGAGACAATTCAGCTCAGTCCTGAAAAAGATTTCCTCTGTACAACTGTCTGAGAAGGTGGCCACAAATCAAGTCATTGGCATGCTCTTGGATTGACAAAGCCAGGTAGAGGGGCAAAATAAGAGAGAAGAGGAGAGGCATGCTGGCTCTTAAGAGGACTGGGACCTGGAGCTGGCCTAGGTATCCCCAAACCGCCCAGGGCCCAAGAGTCCTTACGGTCAGAGAGTCCCCCAGAGCAGCCACAACTTGGATGTCTGCAGGTCTCAGGGCATGCACTGGAAAGAAACAGACACACTCAGGGCTGCAGGAAGGAAGCTGCAGTTCAGTCTAGTGCCTCTGGCTTCAGGCAAGATCTGAAATGCAATCTGCACATGCACTGGGCCATGCAGGGCTGGGTGT